TCACTCGCTGAATCCGTGAGAACCGGTAGAGGGCTGGGTTCCATATGTAGAGGCCTAAGTGGTTCCCATATGTGTAAAGTCCACGGTATAGCCTCAGAGCCCGTGTTTCCCCGGCAGACTTCTGCCATTTCCATGAGAGTTACAATCACCTACAATATTCCATATGCACCTCAGCGAAAACCTGGTATGCATTGCACCGGCTGCCTTTTTATGCTCACGCTGTGATCAGCGGCAGCTGGATGCAATCATCGCATGCCAATGTGCATTGGCTCGTTTAGTTTACACTCGAAGTGGATTGGTCTCTCTAAGCGAGATCCCAATTCGTCAGTCACTGACGTGACGTCTCCGTTCCCTCCTTCAGGGAACGAGGGTTACATACGTAACCGAGACATTAAATCTGATCATTTGCAGGCTATATTAAATTTGACAAAATATCACTTTTAAATACATTGTTAAATGGCTACAATGGCCTTTCCTTGGTATAATACTGGGTGTAAAAATACAATAAATAGTGAAACCCATCCCATTTTGGTTCTGGTTGTTCGCTCCTAAACAGTCTTCAATGTATCACTGAAAAGTCTATTTAATTTTAGTGAATCGTTTCATTTGTTTGTGTAAATTAATTGATAAAAAAATTATTCACCAATTACAGCTCCTGCAAAGCGTTAGTTTTTTTGTTCTTTTTTTATAGAGGTAGCCTATATTTACTTACATTTTGCTGTTCACTGCATATACATTTTGCTGTTTTTGACTCAATACTGTAAATTATGGCTTATTCTATTTATTTGATTTTATTTTTTAGCTGTATTTAGTGTTAATTTATCCACTCAAAGTGTGATGTTGACAACCAAATTGTTCATTAATTTAAAAAAGTCAGTATTTCTATGTCAGACAAAAAAACACAGCTTGACTAAATTATGAATTACATCATTGGATAGTAGTAGAAGATACTGCCCAATAAAATAGCTTCAGTGTGGTTATCTACTATTTGCTACAGTAACGGTAGTAAAGGTACAGCTTGTAGTAAAACAAACTACCATCTCAAAAGAGTTGCTTGACTAGTTTTGTTCACACAGAACAAATTTTTCACAAATGCAGGCCGGAGGAATGAAAGATGAAAGAAAGAATGCAACAAGATTTCTTTCAACTTGAGCGCCGTGTTTTCGAAATGCCTTGTCAAGCACGAGACACTGCAAAAGATGCAAGAAGCAAAAGATGTCCTTCTAGCATGTTTATATAGAAAAACAATGGGAAAACAGCTCAGTGCGATGCAAAAACCTATTCTGTATTAAGAGCCCATCACTACTTTAAGTTATGAGTAGCTTCTACCTTGACAAATTACAGTTTATTTCCAAACATAGTTGCAGACAGAGATGTGGGGTCAGTGATGTCATACATGAAGCAGCAGTTTTATGGCAAAATTGGACTGTCACACTCAACTCAAAAGCAGTGGACTAATGGCAGTCTGTTTCCTCTTCATTCAGTGCTTGCATTACCTTCCTAAAGACAGAACAGCTGCAGCACCTGCTGATTTTATAGGCATTTTTTCACTGAAGTAAACACAGTCGCCACACGTCAACATGGCCTTTGTTGGTCTCATTCGCTCACAGACTTTGAGTTTGTTTATGGGGTTCTGAAGTGGCCAAACAGCAGCCAAAAGAACAAATGCTGTCTGATTATGAAACAGTACATCCTGGATTGGCCTGGTGAGATTTAAAAACTGAGTCTTACGGAATGCATTATGGTAGCACTTCTCAAACCCGGCATTTGCAAGTCACGTGGGACCGTTATAACTCAATGACTGTGCAGGACTGTCACACACAGATATTGGTTTCTCATGTCATAATTTGAAAAAATGGTGAGGAATTTTCAGTTTCAATTTCACAGGGATTTTATTCACATCAAAGGTTTAGTCCAAAATGGTTATGTATTATAGGGGAAATATTGGATTATCTGGGTGCATTGATGGCTTATATGTAAGATCATGTTGATATGAAATACAGTATCAACCTGTGACATCAGCATCTTTCAGTGTGAATAGTACAGTATGCACTTGATCTAAAACTGCTTTTCTAATCATTTTTTAATTATTCTGCGAAACACAGAAACTAAAACAACTGAGAAAAGTTTTCGAATTAATTGTGAGTAATGTGATCAATTTTCACACTACTTTTTTTTCTGAATCTGAGCAAAGTTGGCCCAAGATTATTCTTATAACACAAAATGTAATTACCATTTTTATTACCAACTTCTAGATTTACTGCTTTTATTCAAGCCTAAAATATTATGTATCATCACTGAATGAACCTAAATACATTATTTATAATCAGGTAGAAATATCTGTAAGGTAACAAGCTGCAGTTTACAACTCTTTACAGTGCAGTATTATACATGCGTTTTTAGACAACATGGAATATTTGTACTTTAAAAAATAACTTATCTAACAGCTACCAAATGATTGCAAAGCAATCATTGGCAGCATCCTCAACACCCTAGCATCATAAACCAACAAACATTACTTATATTTTCTTAGGGGCTTAATGGTTAGAGAGTCATACTTGTAACCTGAAGGTTATGGGTTCGAGTCTCAGGTCCGGCAGGGATTGTAGGTGGGGGGGAGTGAATGACATACATGTCCAAGGCTTCTCTTCCACCCTCAATACCACGACTCTGGTGAGACCCATGAGCAAGGCACCAAACCCCCAACTGCTCCCCGGGCGCTGCAGCACATGGCTGCCCACTGCTGCGGGTGTGTGTTCACGGTGTGTATGTGTGTGTTCACTACTCACTGCTGTGTGTGTGCACTTGGATGGGTGAAATGCAGAGCACAAATTCCGAGTATGGGACACCGTACTTGGCCACACGTCACTTAAGAAAAATTGACAAGAACTTCTTTAAAGTTTTCACATTTTTTGTCATCTATATAACATCAACTGCATACTATACCATATACTAGGGATTTGAAAAGCACTGGAGCCAGAGTAATTTAAAAAGTGAGTGAAGCATGACCTCCCACTGACTCCCACTACATCCTGAATCAGAGTGTATGAGACAGACACTGAAGCTCTGTTCACTCACTGATGTCAGCCCTCAATCACAGCACAACAACGCCATTTTATCAGCTCACAAACACGCCATACAAGCACCAAAAGAGGAGTGAGTCAAGTTCCTTTACAACATGATTACTGATTCGTTTGCTCACATGTTGTAAGTTTAAGACTAGTTCATGCAACTTTGTTCATACTGCATACTGATTTACCAATAAAATTTGCTTTGTTTGCTTACATCCTATAAAACCTAGTGTATCATATCACATACATACATGTCCAAGGCTTCTAAATTACCAACACAAACAAAACTTTGCTAAAAAACCTGTTGTACACAACATGTGACCCTGGACCACAAAACCAGTCTTAAGTCGCTGGGGCATATTTGTAGCAATAGCCAAAAATACATTGTATGGGTCAGAATTATTGATTTTTCTTTTATGCCAAAAATCATTAGGATATTAAGTAAAGATCATGTTCCATGAAGATATTTTGTAAATTTTCTACTGTAAATAAATGTAAACTTAATTTTCATTTAGTAATATGCATTGCTAAGAACTTCATTTGGACAACTTTGAAGGTGATTTTCTCAGTATTTTGATTTTTTTTGCACCCTCAGATTCCAGTTATTAAAATAGTTGTATCTCGGCCAAATATTGTCCTATCCTAACACACCATACATACTTATTTATTCAGCTTTCAGATGAAGTACAAATCTCAATTTCGAAAAATTGACCCTTATGACTGGATTTGTGGTCCAGGGTCATATATACCACATGCCTTCTGTCGAATGATTGATGTTTCATACTTTTTTAGCAAATACTGTTGTAAAAACGTCAGATTAAGGTTTGCGTGTCATTTTGCTTTGAAATGTTTACTGTAAGAGTAAACTTTAGAATAACTTTTATACTGTCAGTAATATTTCAAGATAAGCACTTACTGGACTGATGCAACTTATGTTTACTTGATTATCCATTCATCATTTTTAGAAAAAAAAAAAAAACATTAAAATATGAGTATCAAATCCATTGGGCTTTTGAGGAATGTTTATTTGTTCATCTCTCAATCATCATTATACTGCATTGCATTATATGTTTTGACCAGCACAAAAAAAAAATAGTTTTGATCATAAAACTAAGCATTTAAATAGCATGCTTCCTCCAATGAAAAAGATCTCACTGATTTACATTTAAGCTCATTTAAGAATCAAGATCAGAATTTCATCTTACTTTTTGAGCATATAAATATTAGGAATTGCACAATATTGCCTAATTATGGCATTTTTTGCTCAGTTTGGGCCTCTGAATAAAATGGAGGTGTTTTTCCTCCTCAAGTTTGAGCTTCATATGAGTCACATAAGCCGTATCAAATACGATACAAAACAAATATGCAAACCTTATTTTTAGATTTTTTTTAGACTTTTATATTTTATATTTTGTGTCCTATTTAAAAAGTAAATAGATTTTTATTATTTCATATGTCGGGCTTAATGACAGCAGCACTCGAGCTGCATGAATGCCATAAATTTGTGTAAAACCTGATGATCATGTTCCCAAGTCTTTAAAACATGTCACATGATCAATGTCGCAAATTTACTTAAATTTGATTAGTGACCTAGAAATACTGCCATTTAACATGGATTTCTTTGCTTTAAATTTCTCAAAATTGCTCAAAATCCTAAAGCACTGTTTATTTCCAGATTTGAACGAAAAACAAAATCCCAGATATTCAATGTGGACTTTTGGACTCAACTGTATAATCACCACAATAAACAAAATAAGCACATGAAAACTAAAATGTTTAACCCATAAAACTTGCTTTGACTGCTGTTGAAAATATAGCCTAAACATTGTAACACGAGGACATGTGTATCCTCCAGTGACAATACAATACTGCCAATTGAAACGTCAGTTTTATTGTGACAAACACAAAGCAAACACAGCTGGCTCTTACTCTGAAGGTTTTGGTGCTGTAGGACGGGGAGGAGGGCGGCGAGTCGGACAGGGACTTTCTGGAGCGAGAGGAAAGGTCCTTGCTGCGCGAATAGAGCGATGACATCTCTCTCCTGTAAGATAGGAAGATCCCTGATAGACGCGGGCACCCTCTCACACAGCTGTGGAGATGGCCATGACTGCTGGACGTGAATAGATACGCTCAACAGGTGCAAACGAGGAGTCCTTCTCTCTGCAGTGTGTGTGCTGAGACTGACAGCCGAACTGGGTTTCCGTTCCTCCTCGAGGCACGGTGGTCATTAGAGAAAAATGAAAGCAATTAGAAGCACCTCTCCACTTCGCTATCTCCCCTCCCTCTATTTCCGTCCCTCTCCCTCACTCACAAACGCATAAACAACAGTCCTCCTCCGGCTGACGTTCTCTCTTTGACACTCATTCACACAGATGCACAATGAGAGCTAAATAAGGAGAGGACTTTGCTTTGTTAACTTTACAGACGGCTGAAAGCCTCCCTCACTGTTCTGACTACTTACAATCACTCCACACAAACACTGAAAGAACAAAACTGTTTTCACTTGGTCCCACTCAGCTCCGTCACTCTCTCACAATCTCTCTTTCTCTTTCTTTCTCACACACACACACAGAGAGAGAGAGAGAGAGTTTCTTCATAAATCTCACAGTCCTTTCACTTATTTGTTCTCTCATATTCCTTCTGCTCTTTCTCTGGCTCAGTACCAGCTGCTTTATTTCACTATTATTTGATTATTTATCAAACACAAGAAATGATAGTGAAAATGTTACAGTAAAAACTCATTCATTGGTTGAAGGGATAGTTCACCAAGAAATGTAAAGTTGTTTTCATTTGCTCACCTTCATGTTGTTCTAAAAACTGTCTGTCTTCTGTAAAACACAAAAGGAGAGATTTTGAAGAAAGTGCTGGTCACTCTTTTCCATGTGATTACAATAAATGGGCACCGGGGATTTTAAACTTTAAAAGGATGCAAAAACGTTTTTTTGTTATACTGTATATTGACTTCAGATTTTAATTCAATTTTTTTCAATTTAATTCAGATTTTCAATTCAATTTTACTTCCAAAAGTACTTTTATAGTGATTTTTTTAAGTTAAAATTCTCAGCCCCCATTCATTGTAATTATGGAAAGGAGCCAACAGTTCTGAAGAAAACAAAAAACTTTCACAGAAGAAATAAAATCAAAAAATATAGGTTTAGAACAATATGAGGATGAGAAAATTAAAACACCTGTTTTTATGGGCTTTAAAAATAATTGTGTTAGAAAATGAATTAGTATGAATTACCTTATAATTTACAGAGAAAATCTATATTTTAACAAAATTCATGTAATTTTACAGTAAAAGATTGTTAAAATAGTTTTTGTCAAATTTCAAACTTCAACCAAAAAAGTCAATTGATGTTCTCTGAAGTCCCACTGATTATACTTTTGATTATATTTTATTTAAATAGTTACGTTTTATTATTAGGGTTTTCTATCTTACATTTTATTTAGTTAGTGTTATTATGCTGTTTATATTTTTAAACTGAAGCACAGATTGTTGCATTTCAAGTACAGTAGGCTGTAATTTTAATATTATATCAAGTAATGATATAGTATGTGAAGTTATGAAATATAAAATATACAGGTACCAAAATGTCATCCTGTAATGTCTAAAACATTTTTTATAGTGTTTCAGTATGTGCAAACTGTACAGATGTGGACTGACACATACTAGAAACAATGATGAATCCATGATGAAGATTTTGCACTGGGCCCAAAAACTGCTTACAGTGGTCCGGCCCCCAACTGCCCTCTAGCATTTCGCAGATGCGCCGTATATGTGTCATGAAGCTGGTCTGAAATGACATTTGAATGAAGAGGCTAACTGTCAGAGCTCATGTGAGTTAGAGCTCTGTCACAGTGAAGCTCAGTTCATATCTCTTGTCCTGCACTCCCTTCAACTTCAGCCTTTGTGCCGAACTAAATATGACAGATTACTGATACTGAAGCAGATGGGATGAAGTTACCATGAAAAAAAACTATTCCTTTATTTTGAGCAGTACATCTATTGTTTTATTATTTAAAACCTGACAATTAACTTTTTGGAAATGTTTTTCTTTAAATCTGTAGTTGTACAGTCTTTCAAGACAGTTTGTGGTATTCACTTTTATTAATGTCTGCAGCACAAATGATGCAGGATGAATGATGTGCTGAAGTTTAATTTGAAGGCAGTTAACATTAAGAGTCCATTTCAAGCACATACGTTTTGGAGCTGGTCCGCACTCTAAAAGCAGTTCCCATGCTTTCTTCCTGTCTGTTTCTGGCTAATAATGCAAGAGAACTCAAAGCCATCTGCAGAGGTGAAGCTGAGCCATAGAGTGCACCTCATCACATCGGCCACAATGGCTTTCCTTTTCCACTGGCCTGGATGTAGTAAGCCGGTTGAAACGGGCCTTGGGAGACTTGTTTAAGACAGTGGATTTCAGTCTGGGAGCCAACGTTTCAATAGCTGCATCTGCGTTTCGGGTTAAGCAGACTTGACCTATTCTTCTTTTCATGACTTTCCAAATGGAACATTCATATCCACTCGGGTTCAGTGCGTGTCCTCTACTTGTCCTCTTGATTCAGGACACAAACTAAACTTTGAGATCCACATCCCAACAGTGAGATAAAATGAGATGAAAACAAAAGGGCTGCTGGAATGAATCGTTCCCATCAATGGTCTGTCATAATATAAAATATACTGTATGTACATGAGTATTTGCTATTGCAATCATTCCTCGTCTCACATGAAAGAATGAGTTTATGAGTGTTTTAATATGGTATCTAATTTAAAGTGAATATACTACTGTTCAAAATTATGAAGAAAATGTCTCACACTTTCCACAAAAATATTAAACATTGATAAGAACAAATGTTTCTTGAGCAACAAACTAGCATATTAGAATGATTTCTGAAGGATCATGCACTGAAGACTGGAGTAATGATGCTGAAAATTCAGCTTTGCATCACAGAAATAAATTACATTTTACAATATTTTTACAATAGAAAATAGATATTTTAAATTGTATTAATATTTCAAAATATTACTGGTTTTATTGTATTTTTGATCAAGTAAATGCACCCTTGATGAGCATAAGAGAATTTTCAAAAACATTTAAAAATCTTATTGACCCCAAATATTAGTATAGTGTATGTTTGAGCCATTTCTGTGAATCAATTCCTAACTCTGACTCAGTGATTCATTTGGATTACCACTCAAAAATGTCCAAAACTTCGTCTGCGTGACAGTTTAAATATTCAAATATTTCTTCTTAATGCATTCAAATATTTCAGAATAATAGATGCCATCAAGAGCAATGCTTTCTAACTTTATATTTGGTCTATGAAAACCAATGCTTATATAAAAAACATTTGCTGTATATAAGCGAAAGGCTGAAAACATTGAGATATGTGTATAGCTATATCAGCTATAGCTTGCTCTCACATTCTCACATTAAGAGCACTGTAAAACCTATAGTTTTAATGAAAACACATGGTTTATGAAAGCGGATTTCTTCAGTATTTCAACACCATATAGAAAGGGTGGTGTGGCGTGTTCTCGCTTGCTAAAACAACATGTCATGGATCCATGAGGATTCAAAAAAGAAACAGCACTTACAATGTAAAACTGAGGAGAAATGTATGTAACGGTACAGCAGGAGATTTCAGGACTGTGTGGAAAATATGAAAGGAAACACAAGGATGGAAATGTTTCTAGCAGAAAGTAAACGTCCATTGCTCTCTGCTGGGGTCAAAAAGAGGCCATTTCCACCATAAAGACACACACACATCAGCACTCACACACACGTTGTGCCATCTATTCCTAGAACCACACTCAGATCCATTATAACACAAAAAATACACACTAACCAAATATAGACATACACAATCACAACAGAATATTATGAATACAAACAAACTCAGCTGCTTCTGCATAAAACACACTCAAATACATACTCAGATGCAAAAGTCCACATACCCACACACACACACATAGTGTCCTCACACTGTATCTGGTCTGTCAGATCATTTAGCTCTTTTATGAGAAGAGGCAGAGTTCTGGCTAACCACAGTATCCCTGATTTGCAGCTTTCTGGCTCATTCCCAAGATCTCAGCTTACATATCATAACGCTCCATCTCAACCCTACAGCACCCAAAGCCTGTGTCTTTATATAATCCTAAACAATATAGTCATAAATGTGTCCATGTCTCACTATGGAGCAAAAATTATGTGAAATGAGAAAAGGTTCAACTGGAATAAATCATTTTTACAATCAAATTATGTGACATTTAAGATTTAAGTTCAACTTGAAGTTAATCTTTGAATTTTCCATATGACTACACAAGACAATTTATTTTATTTACAGGATATGGACAATTAAGCCATACAGTACAGTATACAGACAATAATATCTGTCAATAATCTAAATGTAAATATATTATAATATAATAATGTGAGCACCTAACTGCCTCCTCATTAAAAAAAATGTAAAAAAATCTATGCCTTCACTTTTTCTATTCTCTTATTATCCTTTATCCCTTCCTTTTCTAGCTTTTACTATTTTGAACGATGACTGAAACCTTGTAAAACAGGCACTTCTCGTGTTTATTGCTATCTTATGGTAAATCGCTTGTTGTATTCCTCAACTGTAAGTCGCTTTGGATAAAAGCATCTGCCAAATGTTTTCAGACTTAAATAACAAAAAATATTTAAAACAGCTTGATATAAAAACCCAAAAACAAAATTGGATATGGCCATAAAATAATCATTATCATCATCATTATAAATGTTAAGAAGAAGAAGAATTACTACTACTAAATATAAAAATTTCTAAAAATGAAATTGTAATATTTCACTGTAAAATTTTGTTTAAGAAATAATAATAATAATAAATTTGATTTACATTAGAAATGTAAAATTACAAAACTAATATTTATGGAATAATATAGCTTAATTTCTTCTTTTTCAAATATTAAACCATAAAATATATATTTTGCGAAAACCACAAGTAGCCCTAAAGCTTCTCTTTTATTGATATTATAAATTTGGTTTGTTGAACGCATGTTTTAAGATTTAAATGAATTGAAACAGCTTGATATTGGCACACGCTTTGATAGTGTTACACTGAAACATCTTCCATCAAGCTGGTGATGAGGACTGCTGCCTGTAAAACACACAGAAATAGATGCACTAAACACACACACACACACACACACATACATTTACGCAACAGCTCACGGCTAAACGTCCCTCATCATCATTGACAGTAATATGACTCAGTTTACATTCATGTGGCATGCTGAAGCAGGTAGTGTTATCAGTGTTAATTATCAGCGACCGATATAGCTTTCTCCTATTTCACAGCGGCTTCCCCAGAGTCATTCAACGCTTGGAATCAGACGAGAGCCAGCTGACGGATTGACAGGGATTCACTGTACCTTTCCAAGGATAACTTCACTGCCACATATAGGTTTTGTCCTTGTTCTCTCTCTTTGCTCCGCCTAATTTGTTGCCTTATACGTCTCTTCTGC